CAGGAATGATTTGGGCTTTTTTTTTTTTCCCCGTAACCTCCTTGTTCTTCCTAGAGCAGAATAGTTTTTTCTTAAAAGGTAGAAAATAGAGAGAGAGGCTTAATGTAGTCTCTCTCGTCGTAGTGGCTGTTATCCTATGACTATGTTTCCAGTCTTTCAGTGGAAATTACTGCAGTTTTAGTACTTCAAGAGCATATCTTTTCTTTGTGCTATAAAAGATTTCTCATTTGGTTTGGCTCCATTTATTACAGCATACAGCTTGTCTATGCAGTGCTGTCATTGCCTTGTTGAAGGTACCCCTTTCATTTCAAAGGTACTTTTTCCAAAAACTGCAGTCTACAAGCATTAAGGTAAGTACTGCTCAAATATGGTTTAAAATTTCTTTTCATTGAATCTTTACTTAATGAGAAAAGGTTGATATAGTCTTCCTAAAGGCACAAAGATTGAGCATTTTTAGTGAGGGCACTTAACCGCAAATAGCACTTGGGTTTGCCTGTTTGGATCAGCTAGAATAATATGTACGTATAATTATTAAGAACTATTAGGCTGTGACTTGGACAAGCAAATAGGATTCAGTTTTTTGACTGCAAGGTTAAAAAAAAAAAAACTGACTGTGGAACTTTCCTTGATTCTGAATCTAAAGCTAGATAATATTCTAGTCCTGGGAAAGCAACTTTTCTCAGCTTGTATTGTTTTTCCTTTTACTGTAAAAAAAAAAAAAAATTACATTTTCCATGTTGGAAGAGAATTGTAATATTTGTCAGTTGGCAGAGTAAGAATGGCTGTATGTGGCCTTCAGCAAGAGCAGGAAAAAGGGGAGGCTTTTCCTTGAGTGCTCCCTTTTTTCTGGGAGGAGTGAAAGTCTTAAGATTTTAGATGTTTACACTTACTGCATTTTATTTCTTTGTTCATCTTAATATGTTTGGAGCTTACTTGTGGATACTTTGTAGGACTGTTCACTCCTTTCAAAAGTGTTTAATGAAACAGATGTAAAGACCATGTCTGGGATTGCTGATGCACTTATTAATTGTCATAGTACATAGAGTACATAGAGTTCTGTGTTTGCATCCTCTAGTTTCCCTACCAAACCCCTCCTTGAAGTTTAAGAACTGTTTCGTTTCATGTATGAATTGCCTTTGCTTTCAGAAGGCGTAAGATTACTTTTCTGTCCGGTTTTCTGTGTTTCAGCTTGCTCTATCTCCATCTCCAAGGAACCCTGCTGAGCCTATTGCAGTACAGAACAATCAGCAACTGGCCTTGAAGGTGGAAGGAGTGGTTCAGCATGGCTCTAAACCAGGCCTTTTCCGCAAAATCCAGTCCGTCTGTCTAAACGTATCTTCAGTGCTGCAGAGCAAATCTGGACAAGACTATAAGGTATGGGTACTGTAGAGCCAGACAGCGTCCTAAGCGTTCTTCCTGTATTTTCCTGCTCTGTTTTTGGCTCTGTATGTTAGCAGAATTCTCAGGTTGAAATGAACGGGGGCTTCTGCAATCCTCTCGCTCTTGAGAGTTGTCGTTCAGGCACCGGTGGGAGCTAGGCATAGGGCATGGAAGGAATCTGGGATTTTGATGCCTGCTGTATGCTGATACCTTTTCAGCAACAATTTTTATTTCAAACAAACGAGATTTTTGTAATAAGAACAGGTGACTAGGAGTCTGCTTGAGATCAGGAAAATTCAACCTAATATACAGCAAAGGAAACTCCTAAGGAAAAAGGCAGGAGTAGGTTATTCTCTACTGCCTAGCCCCAAGAATTTCTTAATCCTCATGCCGGGTTTTTTGTTTGTTTATGGAAATTAGGAGGACAGGCTGTCCAAATGAAATAGTAAACTCAAATGAACAGTTTTATCAAAGATGGCGTGTCTGAAGTTCAGGTTCTGCTAACATGATCTCTAGTGAAAGGCCTAGGTGTGAGGGGTTGCTTTTGTGTTTCTTTTGTTTTAAAAACTCAGTTGCTTTTAAAGGAATAATATGACTAGGAAGTGTTTAATGTTAGTCTGACTTAGATTACTCAATGGAAAAAAAGAATGTTGAGGCAAAAAAGACTTGATGTTAGCTATCTTGTTTCTGTTGGTAGATACACAAATGACATTCGTCAATGAAAATTATGCTCCAACGTACATGTGCGTTGGTTTAGGAAAATTGAAGATAACAATCTTTATCTCTTCTTCAACTGGAGAGCGGATAATTCCTTTTAACAGGTTATATATAAAGTGACATTTTGATCCCTCCATGTGTTCTCAGATTCCTATTGACAACATGACCAATGAAATGGAACAGAGGGTGGAACCACACAACGACTACTTCAGCACTCAGTTTCTGTTAAACTTTGTGATACTTGGCACCCATAACATCACAGTAGAGTCCTCTGTCATTGATTCAAATGGCATTGTTTGGAAGACTGGGCCTAAAACAACTATTTTTGTAAAATCTCTTGAGGATCCATACTCCCAGCAGGTTCGTCTCCAGCAACAGCAAGGACAGCCGCCATCACAGCAGCAACAGCAAAGAACAGCATACTCACGGTTTTAATTCCTGGAAGTGACTCTATCTTGTAAGAGTCGATGGCAGCACAGGTTTTCTTGGATGCTGTTTTTTCAAAAGCTTACACTTTTAATGTTCTCCTAAGTCTCAGGTGCCATTTTGTTACTTTTTAAATTGGTTATTCTGAGGTAAATTTGGGCATGAATCAGCAGAAGCAACTCTGTTCAAATTCGGAGTTGCAATTTTACTATTAGAACTTCTGTTTGGTCTGTTCACTTCTATTCACAAACCAGTTGCAGCAGACTCCATAAACTTAGCTAGCAAGGGGGACTGAAGAACGGTGTGACTAGTACTATCTGTACTTTCTTTTTTTGAAGCATGTGGGTTCTAATATTAGGCTCACAGGACATCTGTTAACATGTTGGTTAGTTAATACAGAACTGAGTGTAATACCAAGTCCATATATTTTAATGTGAGGGAACTGGCAGGAATATCCAGAGATTTTTCTGACATTTTGATAGCAAGTTCTAGTATTTGCCTGGTGTATCTATATTTTTTTCAGTTCATCAGCAGAGTTTGATATGTTAATATCAAAGGAACAAAACGAAAGCACACTTGTAATATGCAGTTGTAAAGAGAATACGGGCTAGGGGGGTGTCAGGAGAGTCTTATAAGAAGCAGAATATTACTAGTGGGAGCAATAACTTTCTTGGATGGTATAGAAAGGATTACTCTTTTGTTCTGAATTTTCTTCATTTATCTGTGTTTCAGAAGGCTCTTTTTTTTTTTTTTAAAGAGGAAAGTTAATTTGCAAGTTGTCATTCAGTTTTAACTTCTTTGCATTTAAAGGGACTTATTAAAGGCCAAAGTTTTGTAATCTTGTGTACTCTTTTACCGATTTAGTAATTCTAACTGGCACTTTTACAGGATAACTTCAAAGAGAGTTTTGCTGTAGATAACAGTACTACAAATTGATTCAGAATCATTTTGGAAGTATACTGCCTCATATGTAGCTTTTATGCTATTTTGGAAGCACAAAGGGCTGAACTCGGTCTAGACTCTCATGCACGTAACATATCCCTCACCTGGTCCTAATAAATAATCTCAGTTTATCACTCTGCATGAAAGTAAGAACTACTTGAATGGGAAGGAGGAACGATGTCACTTCTTACAGACTTAACAGTTTATAAAGGGTTTCGTGCCTGTCATTGGAGTAGAAATTTTCAGTGTCACTTTTATCAGTAAATTCTTCATATGCTGCTGTTCACTGTAGAACATGACTGGAGTTTGCAAACCCTGCTTTTTCATATGTAGAGAATATGATAATAAATTGTTATAAGCCTAGGTTTCTTTGGCATAGCTGGCCAAAGAACTATTTTCATTGTGTTTTTCCCCTAATTGGTTGCTTAAGTAGTCAACTTCTTCTTGGCTTGATGTTCTGGCAGAAAAAAATTGGGAGTGATCGTGATAGATTTCATAATCTCTTGGTCAGATTTTAATCCTAAGCAGAAGAAATGTTAGGGCTGCAGGAAGGAAGTGAGAAGACTCAAAATTATTTTTAAAAATTCACCAGCGCCCTCCTTAAATTGGATCTTTATTTTGTGCAGGGGGCACAAATTACCACTTTCCTTCAGTCTGTCTATGAAAAGTGGTGTTTCCTGTCCCCCCTTTAATGGTTATATAGTTAGTTATATATAAATTTGTGCGTGTATGTATAGTTACAGAGTTCCAGAAAAAGATGATTCATACAATGTTGCATACGCAATCTGTCCGATTTGAGAAGTGAACTGTTCATGGGGTTTTTTAATTAAGGTCCCAGACCAATATCTTAACCACAAAACCATCTTTATTGTAATGTTTAAAAAAAAAAAAAAAAAGCAAAAAGCTCCAGACTGAAAGGTCAAACAATTTTTTTTTTTATCCTGCATAATGAATGTTTAGTTCTTTTTCTGTTATTGACTAACACATTGCTGGAAACCTGTGATGGCAGCTTTCCAAAGCAGCTCAGAAATGAAATGAAATTCCTACATTGCAGAGCAGGCTTCTCCTATAAGTCATAAAAAGTTCACAGTGCATAGCTAAACTTGTGAGAAAGCTAGCAGAAAAAAGCTTCTCCAGGCAAAGCCCTGGCCCAAGACATAGTTGTCCATAAGGCAGTAAGATTGAAGCAGTTTGCTGCAAGAATCGGTTCAGAAAACTGTTCCTTCCCCAAAGGACAGGTTTGTTCACCTCATCTGGTAGGGCCCTAGAGCGCTTGGAACTTGGATCAGTTTTGGAACTAGGCAAATAATGACTGAAAGTTAAATCCAAATTCTGGCTACAGCTCATGGCTGAACTCGCCCTGTTGTGTTTGATAGAAAGTATGTATAGGATTATGCTTTCCTCCAGACTATATACTAGGCATAATTTGGTCATATTAGAATTACGATGACAGCACTGAGCGAGGTATATAGATCTCTCATCTTCTGTCAGCAGTGGGCAAATATTACAGTGAGTGTTACACTCCGTCATACTTATAAGAGCTATTTGACCGTTTAGTCAGCCATACTGCAAGAACTTCAGATTATAGGTTACCGGTCTACAAAGGAATACGCAAGATGCTCAAATACATCCATTCAGAGTGCTTTTTTTTTTTTTTTTTTAAAACGTCAGAGTGTTCTGTAGCAAAGGTTTTAAATATCTCCTGATGGTTGACTTCATAAGTTACTATATACTTAACATTCAGGTTGTCCTGTGTAGACAGGTGGTTGGTTTTTTTGCTTAAGGCCTCTTAGCTGGGTGAAACTTGTACTCCATGGGAACCTTCCAGTCTTGTGAAAAATACAATGTCATATTTATTAGAAATTCACTTGTATGGGAAGATGGCTTGCTGTGCAAGTACCTGAATTTCTAACAAATTCTGAAGAATTTCTCATGGTGGCTCATTTGCAGGTTATAATTACGTGTTGATCAGGAAAGATCCTAGATCTTCTACTAAATCACCCGTTTAAGTGACAGCAGTGTTATAGGTTATGTGGTTTTCATGGTGGGGTTATTTTTTGGGTGCTGTCATGTATTTTTAATCCTAATGCAGGGCAACATGTTTTGAGGAAATAAGAACCAAGGTTTTTTCATAAAAATCAAAGACTCAAAATACCCAGAGAGAAGCCAGAAA